TGTTTATACAGTATATGGGACTAGACCTCGGTCATCATTTTAATCATATAACTAAATGAATTGTTGTATTGGAAAATCCATCCATCCATCCATTTTCATCCACTTATCCGTTACCGGGTCGCGGGGGCAGCAGTCGCCACCCACATCACATTGCACCGTACCAACCCCCCTGAACCTTACTCCAGGTGGTGAGTCCACTGGAAGGTACCAACCGCCCTAACCAGGATTCAAACTTGCCCAGGAGGTGAAACCTGGGGTTCCACATCAATGACAGAGACATTGCCTCTGGGCCAAAGCGCCTATTATTGGAAAATCCCTGAAACGTTAATAATACTAAAAAAAAAATCCATGCAAATCTTTGGATATTCAAATGTATTCAAAGGTATTACAAAAAACTATTTTGGTGGATGGTGTTGTATTCTGTGAAACCTATGTCCATTATTATTGACTACTAGTTTTAAACCGCTGTCTGCAGCACTTGCCAAGTAAGTAATAGTACAAGTAAAGTTGTCAAGGGGTTTAAAACCCAACATTTTTATAAAATAAAATAAAATTTTGATCTAGTATAAGCTGCCAAATTGAGTTAAAAAATTCATGCAAATATAAAAAAAATAAAAGTGAGATGCTGTCATCATGTTTATAGTTTAACGTCTTGTACCTTGCATGTTAGTTTTTTGTTTTTTGTTTTCACTGTGCAACAGTATGTAGGAAGCCAAGTTCAACGCCAACAACCACACTTTTCCACTTTCCACTTCATATAGTTATTACATGATAAATATCTTTATGACACAGCCTTGGAGATTGTTGAAGCACATTGTTTGAGCCTGACTTTCTGTGCAGTGACTGTTGCTGGTTCAGGTCAAATAACTCAGATTTCAATGCAAAGTGCAGCTCTAGTATTTTGTCTTTATGGGAAAGGGAAATAATTTAACTCGTGCTCCTCTCGTGGAGAAGACAAGGAGAGAGGGCACTGATTTTAAAATTGTCATGTTCTAAAAATCACTGTTTTAAGTCTGCCCGTGGTCATCAACTGATGGCCCGTAGGTCAAATTTGGGCCACAATAAATATCAAATAATAATGTTGGACAAAAGATGTATTTCATTTAATTTAGGTTTATCTGTCCAGAAAAAGTCTAAACCCTCTGACAAATACCGTATTTTCTGGACTATAAGTCGCACTTTTTTTAATTCTTTGGCTGGGTTTTTCATTTATATCAGGTACATATATGTTTAACTATATAATTTCACGGGATTTTTATTCTCACACTGACAGCTGCTAGAGGGCACTCTAGGCTTGTGTACCAGTATCTGCTGCTCCTCTACCACTGAAAAATTACATGTTCATTATTTTCACACTTACAGCCACTAGAGGGCACTCTAGCTGTTGCTGTCGTGATTTATATTCCGGAGCAATTTATAGTCCAGATAATACAATATAGTTGGTGACCCCTATAGTATATAGTGATGCATTCAGTGATGATTGTATTCTACTACAACAACAATTTTTAGAGGAATATTATTATTATTATTACATGGTTTGACAGTCGGTCACCTAACAGCAAGAAGGTTAAGATTCTATGATAATCTGCTTTTGAACAAAACTTAAACCCTAAGTTGTCTATCACACCTATTCATTTGAGGGAGGCAGCTGTCTCCCTCTTCTACCACTGCCACCACCAGGCCCCACATGCTAAGTGGGTAAAGTTTTGAGAGAAAGTACAAGTGTTTTTAACAGCCAACCTACTCACTGAAAGTAGGACAGAAAGTAGATATAATATAAAACCACATATGTAGTTCTGTGATTATGTAGTTTGTCAAATGATGGACTATTTTAATAAAATTAGCTCTTTGGGGGTCCAAAATCCTTGACACAAATACTCTCTTACAGAGCAACATTAGATTTGTTTTTTTCCCCTTGCATGGTAAAGCCAAATATGAAACACATTCCTTCCCTTAAAACAACTCTGTCCTTTTCTAGCCTCAGCCTATGACATCAGCAGAGCAGAGCCTTGTGTCTCTGGATATAGCATTTACAGGAACCGCCCCAGACAGGAACCACATTCTTGTCAGTTTAAACATCACTGCATTTATATTTGTCAATACGTTTGTAATGAATATTAGAAATTTTAACAAATCCAGCAGTAAACAGAACAGCTTGGTGGTTATACACCACCTCACACCTTTACAATGTATTACATACAAAAGCATAAAGTAGTTGTAATGTGACTATTAAAAAGGAAGAACGAATGTTGTGTGTATTTGTACCGTAGGTCCTGGGCTGAGCGTTGTGGCATGAACACATACCGTTACATATCTTCTACATTCATACTGTATGTGTGTGTTTGTGTTATTAAACTCTCAGCTGTATAAAATAAGTGAAGTTGTTTGGGCATTGATGACCTCTGACTTTTTCAAGTTGACTAAACTTTCATTGAAGTCAATGTTGAGTTAATGCAGTGTTTCATGGCGCCATCAGTGTAACAGATGTGGAACTGCACAAACACGTACAACAATGATCATGGCTTTTACTAATTGAAATAACTCAGCCATCAGTTGTTCTCTTAGCTCCCACAGAGAAACTCACTAGTTTTCTGTTAACACCAAACTGCGATGATGGGTGGTTCGGTGTGTCCTTGTCTGAACTTTCCTTCCACACAAAGGGGTGTTACCTCCAGTTTCTTGAAGTGATTTGTCTATTGGTTAGGTCAGTGACAAATTATCAGAGACAGAGAGCATTAGGACACA